AGAGCAGTCGTTTTTCTGAAAATTTAAAAATTATCATATATATATATTACATTTTTCTATTAAAAATCTATTTTTGCATCTTTTGAAATTTTATAAGTTAAAGTTTGCCCCTTCAAATTTTAAAAGTTCAAGTTTACCCCAACATAAAATTTTATGTTCGTCCCTTAACTCCATGAATTGGTAGAACATTGGTTCGAGACATAAAATAGTAAATTAATAATAATAAATTAATATTATTATTGAATAATGTAAGACGATTATAAGGTAATATTTATTCTAAATATTCTCTTAATCATTGAAAATATATGCAAACCTTGTAGATGTAACTATTTGTTTTAAAATTATATATAGAGTTTACTTTTTATTTCATTTTGGTATCTCACTGTTAAAAGCTTAGTGGAACAAGCATGACATTTTTATGGGTAAATTACATCATTTATCACTCAACTATCTTCTCACTCCTATTTTGGTCACTAGAGTTTATTTTTTTTAATTTTGTGACATCATATTTTTATTATTAATTTATTAATATATAATTAAAATAAAAAAATTAAATTTAATAACTTTCAAATTGCTCCTAATTTAATCACTCTAACTTTTAAATTTAATTTTAACAGTGAGGTACCAAAATGAAAAAAAAAATAAACTTTAGGTATAATTTTGAAACAAATAAAAATTTAGGTACAAAAAAATGATAGTTTATATATTAAATATGTAATTTACCCAATACCAAAATTGATATGTTTATATGGGTATTGTAGTGAAATGTGTTGAAAACTGGAAAAAATGTTACACTAAAAGAACTCATCTCGAGAGTGATGAGTTCCAATTTTCTTTTAAAATAAATTCATATTAAAATTTTTGAAACTTTTTTTTAGAATGGCCCATTAAGGTCATTCATTAAGGCCCGTTATACGCAACTTGTAAGTGATGCTTTTGTTGCTTTAAATTATATAAAAAATATCATCGAAAATGAGAACCAAATTTATTGAATGTACAAGTATTAAGTATTAAATATGTAATTATGTTATTTCTGTTAACTGTCAAGTAAGCACTTTCATTAGATGTTAATCACAGATAATTATATTGAAAATCAATTAAATAATTAAGAGATCATATTGTCGAAATTCTAAAAAAGATGTTTATATAGACATCAACCTTCTAATTAGTTGGTTATTCAGGTAGTTTACCCTTTTAAAGCCACCGCACCAATGACTGTTTGACGTCATCTCCGTTGGATAAATATTTTACACTCAGACTTACATGTTTTCATTAAATAACATATCAAACTTATTAGAAAATTAATTTTGTATAACATATTTTTTACACCATATATAAATTATTTAAAATTTAAAACTAATCCAAATTTTAATGCATTAAAACTTTTAAACTACAAAAATATTATAATAATAATAATAATTTCAATCAAATTAGGATAAAATATATTTTTATAATAATACTTTATAGATTGTGCTAATCTGAATTAGAAACAAAATATTTTCTTTAAAATTTTTCATTTTTTATTAAATTTAACGCCGGGGAATTATGATCGGCAGGATGGTTTTACAAAAGAGAGTCTGGAATAACGGTCACCGATGGCTGTTTCCATCATCGGCTCCGTGTCCGGTGCCGGCGTCGGAGACGATGGAGTACTGCAAACGTCAATTATCTACCCACGTTTTTGCTTCGTTTTCATCGCCCGTCAATAATTCCGTCAAAGTGAGCTGTTTGTTCATCGACCCAATTTTCATTCATCTTCAAAATTTTGAATTAAAATAACTAATTCGATAGCTTTGTTGGATTTGCAATTTGGATTATTGTTATTAATTGCTAATTAATTCGATCATTATTTTTGTTCTTGTAGCTGTGATTTCCATATATGAAAAATAAATTTAAGTTTTTTTCTAGTAATGCGGTGGCTGATCTTCCAACGAATGGAATCGTCGATGTGCCATTGGCCCAAACTAGTGAAGGAATTGCTGAATGTGAACTTCTTAAGTGGTTCGTTCATGGGGTGAGTTAGGGTTTAAATAGTTGTGCTTAGATTCAATGAATTAAGCTTAAATTTGTTTGATCTTTGATTGTTGATTTTTCGTTTTTGTTAGGGGGATGAAGTTGATGAGTTTCAACCGCTCTGCGAAATTCAAAACGACAAAGCAACGATCGAGATTACAAGTCGTCACAAAGGGAGAGTTGTACAAATCGTTACAAAGGGAGAGTTGCTCAAGTTCTCCACGTTCCTGGAAGCTATGAAGCACGAGGACGGCAAAGGAGCCCCGTTTCAAGTACCCCTTACATTATGAATGGTTTTAGAGGCTGCTGTCTTCTTGTATGGTTTCACACATTGTACCACAGTCTTGGTTGCTTCTCTCCCTTCCTTCTTCTGACATGACTCTTGGATTCCTGTTGATTCTTTCAGGTTCCCATAACATTGGAATTGCCATGGCCACTCCATACGGCTTAGTGGTGCAAAACATAAAGAATGTTCAGTCTCTTTCTATCTTGGAGGTTCGTTACGTTGATTTCACATATTGAATAATGTCGTTCTGTTATCGTCATATTGCTGGTAATTCTTGTAGTTCTTATTCTTAGCTGTGTTTTTCTGTACTTTATCGTACATTCAGATTACGAAGGAACTTTCGCGGTTACAGCAATTGGCTCTGGACAATAAGCTCAGTCCCAATGATATATCCGGTGGAACAATAACACTAAGCAACATCGGAGCCATTGGTGGAAAATTCGGTGCCCCCATCGTTAACTTGGCTGAAGTAGCCATCATCGCAATGGGTAGAATACAGAAACTTCCACGAGTGGCAGATGACGGAGACATTTATTCTGCCTTAATCATGACTGTAAGATTCACTGATACGATACCGTTCCATAATCTTTTCTCTTCAGTGAGATGAAATAATCTGGTGATATCCGATATCATATTTCCTTCCGTTCTCAGGCTAACATAGTTGCGGATCACAGAGTCATGGACGGAGCAACCGTCACGAGATTTTGCAACTAGTGGAAAAGGTTCATCGAGAAGCCGGAGCTCATCATGTTGCATATGAAATGAATGCCCTAGTTATGGTAGCATTTGGCAATAAACCTCAATGTAGAGCCAATAAAATAGTTTCTAATTTCCTATTCTTACTATTAAAGTAAGAACATCCCTATGTTAATTTATCTACTGTTGATCTTTATTAGTTGCTTGCTTATAAATTTGTTAAAGTGAATGGGGGAGATTTAATGGTGTTAATTAAACTAATGTCTTAATTTTAATTAAGTGAAAGACCAAATTCTAAGAAATTAAAATTGATGGATTGATTTCTAATTTTCAGTAAAAGTAAAAGGACTAGAATCGAAATTTAACCCGAGACGTTTGGTTTGAATAGTACATTCGGTTTCGAAGGGGAAAACGACACTGCCACCGCTCCTTAATTTGGAGCTTTCTGCAATTCGATCGAAAACCCCCAAAATTTTAAATTCATCATTAAATTCAGAATAGTAAAAATCCTCTGAATATGATAAATTTTAATTTAATTTGATTTTATAAAAGAATATTTTTTAAAAATTCAAATCTAGAACGAACTATATGGATTTTATGAATAAAAAATTAAATCGAAACAAAAAATAATAATAAATTAAAAAAAAATCTCGACCTTATCCGACCTTATTACACACCGGAATCAAGCAGATCCGATCTGCATATTTAGCTCTAATGTTTTTTCATGATTTTATAGTCATCCCCATGACTATGGTCCTACAAGGACCAAAATCACATGGTACCCAAAATTTGTCCCAACTGACCAAACATTAATTCCAACCACTTGTATTTGAAAATTACAAAAAAAAAATTCATTATATTTAAATTTCAAATTGATTCCCAAAATTTTAAAATATTTTATTTAATTTTTAAAACATTATTATATTTTATTATTAAACGAACTAAACATAGGAAAATTATGAGTATCAAAGACTAATATAGAAAAATAAAAAATCAAAATAGAAAAATCAGTTTAAAAATGCTTGAAAGATGAGATTTCGCTAGGAGCATTTCCTCGAAGAAAGACGAGATTTTGATAAGAGTATATCATCGAAGTGGAAGAACACATTAAATTCGATTACATTGTCAATATCTTGAGTTTCAGTGTATAAGTATATTCATGTAGCAGTGGGAAAACTTGGCGGTAGATTCCGAGGGGACAACTTAAAATTTAAACAAAAAATTAGAGGTTTAAACTATTTTTAAAAAAAAAAAACAGAAGGATTCAATTTACAATTTTTAAAAAATTGGGGTATAACTAAAATTTTTGATATTTTGAGAGAATTAATGAGAATTTTTAAAAATTATGGGGATAATTTAATTAAGAATATTCAAATTTTAAAAATTTTGTGGATACCAAATTAAAAATTTTAAAAATTTTAAAAGCCTAAAATAAAATTATCCAAATTTTTGGAGTATCATGACACACGCTAGTCTCTAGTATCTTCCATCAATGTCATAAACGATGCTTTAAAGTTGAACTAACGATGAGGAAGATGAACAACCTATGAAGGAGGAGTGTGATGCGGATAGAGTAATGAAAAGCATACTTAATAAAAAAGATAAAACAAAATTTTGTCCTTAAATAAGATCAGGGTTCGAATCATAACGTTTACGAATAGAATAAATTAAATTGAGAGCGTTGTCCTCGCCTCTACAGTACTCGATCTAAATTATTCGATAAATAAATTAAATACTAGTGATTAATTCAAAAAAAAATATTTCATTTTAAAGTTTAAAAATTATCTTTTATAACTATTTTATTAACATATCACATCACCAATTTAAGAATATTCAATGTTTTAATAATTAAATTTTAATTTTTTATAATGCGATTTTTTAATTTAATAAATAAAAATATATAAAAATAAAGATAACTTTAACAAAAAGAAGCTCTAAAAGAAAACCATTGATTGTTGTGCATTGGTTGAGCATTTGAAAATACACTTTTTAACCAAACCCCAAGAACAGATCTTAGTCAAAGCATTGAAGAAATCAATAAAGCAAAACAAAAAACAATCAAACATGGAGGACGAAGCCATGTTCCCTCCATTAAAACGCACTACCCTAAAAAAAAGATGGGTTCTTGATCTGATGATGATGAGGATGATTCCTCAAGTGACCAAATATATAGGCTTTGCAGAGGTCGAACCCCTTGCTTGGTGCTCCATGTTAAGTTCCCTCAGATTCAAATATGGAATCTCCAACGGACCTGAAGATGGGCGGCTACTGATTCTAAAAGGAGTGGTTGAACCCGAGCCGCACCGGCTCTCGGTTATGTAAACTGGTCCTGATATCGAAGCTCGAGCCCTATTTTTGGGCTCGAGCTCGACATCTAGATCATTACCATCTCTACTTCTATTCCACTTGAGGAAGAAGAGAGCATTTTTCCACCACCAACGCTTGTTCCTGTTCTTGGCCTTGAGATTGTTGTTTTTCCGGGATAATTGTTCGTCTTTCGATATGGGTTTCTGGAGCTTGAAGTGAAGGGAATCAGTGGATCTCCATGATGATTCTTTCTTCTGCCTCCTTGCTGCATCTAAAACCTGAAAAAAAAGGGTTGGTGAAGAACATAACAGAGAATGAGAAAAAAAATTGAAGCTTTTTGTGGGACCTGAAAATAGTCGATTTGGAGATCAAAGCCATAGTCACTGAAGTGTTGAGGCTCAGGAATGGGGAAGACGGGGTACTTGTTTGACATTTTTGCTATGTGGGTACGAAATGTTGGGGACGAAAATGGTGTTTTGGGATAAGTTTATAAGAAAACGGAAGAGATTGTTGGACTTTTGGGTGATCACAAGGTCGAAAATGGAAATGGCCGTTGGAGAGTGGCAAATGGGTCTACTAATTTAAACTAAGAATTTATTCATTCTTAAATATTAATTATCTAAATTTATTTTAGGCTTAAATATATCGTTACCTCCTAAAATATATCATTTATATTGAGTTATTTTTTAAAATATTTTTTATATGTTTTATCCCTTAAAATTTAAATTGTTATTTCCTTAGTCCCAAATTGTTAACTCTGTTAAAAATATTATAGGTAAATTATATATTTAGTCATTTAATTATTTTTTGAGATTCTATTTTGTTAACCTAATTATATATATATATCAAAATCATCACGAAACTTGAGTTTGTATTCCATTTTGGTCACTTAATTCTATTCAATTTATTTTTAAATTTTTTAATATATAAAAATTCATTTATATCACACATTTTTTTACTTGATACATAAATTTAGTTTATAATAAATAATATTATACACCATTCATTCAGCGGACATTTTTTTACATTATGCCTTTTAGTTATGGTTTAAAGTATAATGTTTTTGGGTCAATTATGATTTTGGTCCTTCTATTATGTTTAAATTCAAAATTTAATAATTGTTATTTAATTTGATATAATTTAATTTTACTATTTTATTTGATGAAAAACAATCCAATTTTTCCTAAAATTATTACCATTAAAAATATTTGAACATTAAATAAAGATTATAATTACTGATAAAATTTAAAAAATAAAATACATCAAAGGTCATTAAACTATGTAGAAATTATCATTTTGGTTATTAAACTTTTGAAAGTTAAAAATGGTTAAATTTATCAAATTATTATAAAATATCATTACGATGTTGTAATAAGTGTAAAAGTTCGATAAATTTAATATCTACTTTATAACAATTCAATAATTATAATGATCATTTTATGTTTGTAAAAACTTAATAATTAAAATGATTATTCAAACATAGTTCAATGACCTCTAGTGTACTTTACCCAATAAAAAAAATATTCTTCAATGTTTAGTTGTTCTTATAAATTGCACTTATTAATTATGTATAAAATCCATTTATTAATAACGGGAATCCTATTTAAAGAGAACTTATATTAATATCCACTAAGGAACCATTAGTAACTTTATTTGGATATGATTTTTTGCCTTTTTATTTAATGAATTTCATTCCACCATTGTCATCGAATTATATCCGAACAATCAAATAAACCACCTTTAATCTTAATAGTATTTTTATTCAAAAAATTATCTTATTATTATTTGATTCGAATAATTATAAATCAAATTCATGAACCAAACATAGAATTCAATGATGGAGCTAAAAATTTAAAAATGAGAATCCAATAATTTTAAATTTTTTCAATATAAAGGTATACCAATTTTTTAGGGTAAAATGCACAAATGGTTCTTTGACTATAGAATATTGCTTTGTTGAATTATTTAACTATTAAAAGTTACAAAATGATATTTTCCATTTCCATTCGAAATGTAAAAAGATTGGTTTGACGCATCTATGTTTCACTGATGATGTTTTCATCTTTTTCAAAGGCTCTCTTGAGTCCATTGTTGGGATTCAAAGCGTCTTACGATACTTTTATAAGATGTCTGGAGTTTAATTAAATGCAACAAAGTTTGAGCTCTTTTATTTTTGGGATTCTGAAAGGTGAGTTGGAAGCAATTAAGGATTGCTCTGGTTTCAAGGTTGGGATTTTACCTATTCGTTATTTGGGTGTGTCACTTGTAACTAGGAAACTTCCTAAGCATGACTGCCATACATTGATTGATAGTATTAGGCGCAAGTTAGAGCATTTGTAACACCCCAGATTTCGGGTTAGTAGTTTCGGATTTACCCGAGAGGTAAATGGACCCCGTGAATTTTACATTTTTAAGCTGTTGGGTCAAGTTGGGTTAATTAGTTTGAGCTCAGAGCCCAATTAGAAAAAAAGAGAGAGGAGTTTTTAAGTTTAAAAATTAAAGAAGCACCAAAGGCAAAATTATCATATTTTCAAAAGTTGAGCCTATTTATTTCTTTCATTTTCTTTCTCCCTTCATTTTTCACGTTTCTTTCTTCTTCTTCTCCTCTCCAAGGATTTAGTCAAGGTAAGAGTTTAAGCCTTTTTCATGCTTCATTTTCATTCGTAATCCTTTTACAAACGCCTTTTTAACGTTTCAAGCCATGGGTTTTGTTAGCTAAAGAGAAAAGTTGGGAGAAATCAACCAAATCATCAAGGAAAAGAGTTTGGCTAAACAAGAGGTTTCTTTTCGGGTTTCTGACAATAAAATAGTGTATTTCTAATCCTTTGAAGTATTAAAATTTCATAAATTTCAAGTGTTTCCTAAAATTTGAGTATTTTAGAATTTAAGGGTTTATATTTGATATTAAGATTAAATGATGTTTTAAGGGTTTAGAAGAAGTTTTTATTCTTCTTAAAGACCCTAATCAATTCCCTAAAGCTTCATAATAAGTTTAGAAAATAACCCAAGTCATTTAGGATAATTTTAGGTGTTTTCTGAGCCTAATTTAAGTATTTTAGGGTTTGAGTATTGATATTGTGATGAACAATATTGATATTGGTTAAATTGGGGTAAAAATTAGGGATTTTGACTAGGAGTATCGATATTGCCATAGGGAGTATCAATACTGCCCCTACAGTATCGATACTCAGGGTGACAATATTGATACTAAGGCCCCAATTTTGCAATAGAATGCAATTTTGGTATTGATAGTCATAGGGGTATCAATACTTGACCCTAGGGTATCGATACTGCAAGTATAGTATCGATACTGTAAGTAGGTATCAATACTGTAAGTAAAGTATCAATAGTTGACCATAGGGTGTTGATACTATTGTGTGGCCTTATGCCTTACATATGCATGTCTAGTTGCATCAGTCCAGTACCTTAGTTATCATAAAAGCTTAGCTTGATGTTGTGTGATACCAAGCCAATGCTTCAGTTGAGGGGAGATATCCAATGTTGTGTGATACCAGAATGCCTTTTCAATGGTCCACCTGATGCTATGTGATACTAAGAGATCATCCAACAGTTTAGAGGGACCTTACTAACGCTATGTGATACCGGTACCCCTCTCAGTAGGCTAGTGTCTGATGCTATATGATACCAAATACTAGCATAGCAGAGCCAGACCTGCATTCAGATAATGTATAGCAGAGTCAGTGTTGTATTCAGGTAATACATAGCAGTTTTATTCTTTAGGGTTAGAGACCCTTTAGAGGTATCCTTATAGAGAGGTGTTTGTCCGAGGACTAAGGGAAGTTCGAGACAGTTACTTCAGCGATACAATTATAAAGCCTTAAGTATATAGTACTTGATCTAGATCATGTATGTGTCTACTTCTTAGTACCCTATCTTTAGCACACGTATGCTTATGAAATTCTTAATGCTACTCTAGATTAACGATTATACTATTGGGCTTTGTAAGCTCAGCCTTTGGATGTTTTTTGTAGGCAAGTCAGTAGCTTGGACATTTCGTGGGGCACCGTCGCAGCAGAACTTCCAACATCTCCTTCAGAGTATTGTGTTGTAGTTTAGAGGGCATGTATATTCACAAGACCACACTTATGTATTCATATTTAAAAGAAAGAGTTTGTATTAATTTGATTTTAAAATATGTGTTACGAAGCTCTGGATTTGTAAAATGTTTTTATAACATTTATTTATGTTTTATTTACGATACCATTTAGTATGTTTAAAAAAAATGAACAGTTTTTGAAAATCAAGGTTACCTCGGTAGCCCAATGTGGTACTTTAGGCCCAATCAAGTTTAGAGTGTTACATTTAGTGGTATTAGAGCATCAGGTTGAGTCAGTCCTAGGACCAGTGGTCAGTTTTTGTCAGGTGTTAGTGAGTACAAGCCCCTATGTACTTAAAGTACTTGTATAAGTTTGGAATCCTAATGGTGCTTAATTTCTTAATATGTGTTTTAGGGTATAGCTATAACCAATATTTCTGAGCATGGTTTTGAGGATAGGATGAAGAGTTAAGCCTCTCATCCTGATAGCATCAGTGAGAAGTTCTTGCAGAGGACAAAGGATCATGAGATTCTATTAGGCGCAGAAGTCGTAGAGGCGACATTCTTCAGAAGTTTAACCTTCATTTTCAGGGAAATAGTGGGTGCCATTTGTAACACCCATTCCCGTATACATTTCAGTACACAAGTCACAAGTGTCAAATGACTTTTTAATACATTTTCTTATTTATAAAACCGTAAAATTTTGTTTTAAATTTTAAAATAAAACATTTTTAATATAATGTAAGACATTTGTTGTAAACTATTACAAAGTTATAACTTAAATACATTACAGAGCATTTTTCTTAGATTCATATACATGTCATCTAATTATCAAAAGAAGACATGATTGTCCTATAGTTATAGATGGGTCAACCTTGGATTGATGTTCTCTGTTGCACTCCTTACTCTGATAGGTATTTGCTTTTACCTACGCGTGAAATCAACACACGTTAAGTATTTACTTAGTGAGACATAATGATGTAAATGAATTGAATTTCATACAAAATCATATCAAACCTATTCGAATACGAACTAAATAGTATACTTCATAAAAATCAGTTAATCATCTCAATTAAACCCAGGTTTCTTTCATATAGTCATCAAAATTATTCTTAGTATGCCAAACGTACTTATTTTTTCTGTATTTTGTTCCCAATTATACTTTATTTTGCCCAATATATGTTAAATAAGAATTTAAGGTACATACATTGCACCGAAGAGCCGAAATGGTCATTCACCTTTTATGAATACCATAAGTGGCACCTTTTATGTCAATAATGCATCGTTATGTATTTTTCATTTATGACACATTTTATGCCAATAATGCACCATTATACATTTTCATTTATGGCACCTTTATGCCAATAATGTACCGTTATGCATTTTTCATTTATGACACATTTTCTACCAATAATGCACCGTTATGCATTTTCATTTATGACACCTTTTTTGCCAATAATGCATCATTTTGTAT